AGTAAAGAGAGGAGGCCACACTATTGTGCATCACTATGGCAGTATTCATTATAAGAGATGGAACTGTGTCTAACATCAAATGACGATAAGGAACCTAGATTCTCTATCATGAATGTCATATTTACTACAAAAGCATCTCACTCTAACACCTCACATGTGAAAATGCTAACTGTATACCGCTAATATCAAATACCATAATTTTGTATTTTGATATTCAAAATCTGCCAACTAGTTTTTAATTTCACCAGATACCAGCAAATTCAGTAACGTTTATGTCAAAATCTCCATCGTTGGAAGTTTACCACCAGATAAATTTGGAAAAAGATAAGAGAAATATTTATTCCCCATGAGTTGTAAAAATATATTCCTAGTATACATGAAGAACGAAAGATAGCCCAAACTCGCTCTACTCGTCCACTCTCCCTCAATCCCAAGGTGTGAGAGTCCCAAAGCAGATGTCAAGTGATGATTCAAATCCCCATTGCAAAGAATACGGAGAGTCCTTCCTTCGTCCACAGTGCTGGAGCTGATCCCCTGGCCTGAAAACAGAGTTCGCCGTCGATGTACAAGAAGACGTCGCCGGGAGAAGTGATCGGATTGTCCTTAAAGGTACCGGTTTCGAAAGAAGTGATGTTGCGATGCTGCAGTTGATGGCATGAGGACGATGCGTGTCGATGCTGACACTCGTTTGGCCCGACTGGTGGTTACGGCATCACCATGAGCTTGCAAGTCCGAATCGAAGCTATAACTGCTGTGCGCAACATGCAGAGCTGTCCAGAATGTGTACTTGTCAGACCTGTCACGCCTTCAGGCTGGTGACTGAGATTAACGTCAGACCCGATGTTAGATAATGTCAATGGGGCTTTGGACTCTCAAGTGTCCAAAATCCCATTGACTTTGCGTAAGTCGTCGTACAGCATCATATCCCAGGGATTTCCTCCCTTGCACATTACCCGATATAGAAAGTTCACAAACCATCTTCGATTCTCTAATTAAAGTCCAATGTCCTAACGTTTTCTATCCAGTCTCACACTAATCATCCAATGAGAGTCGTTACATCTGGACCCGTGAACTTTAATATCTTAATTCAATATTGAAGTCAACTCTTTAGTAAGTAACTTTTGACAAATTCAATCATTCACGGAATATATTTTCGTTTCAGATGTAGACGAATATCACATCTATTCGATAATGAAAAAGTATATATTATAATGATTTCATTAAATATTATATTTTGTTTTGTTTTATAATTATTAAATATGCATATCTACTACTGAATATAAAGTTGACAATATTTTTTATCTATTGAGAATCAAAATTAATGTACATCTCATTTAAATCATAATACACTTAAGAAAATTAATGCACATTTGACTGAGAGCAACATGGATGTTTTTTCGAAAGTTAAAGTCAAGTTCGTTAACAAATTTCAAAATCATTTTTTAACAATGAATGAGTAACTTCCATGTAAACAAAATGAAACCAAGCCGTGCGATTACAACGCGTCAGAAATTAACTTTCACACCAAGTGTTTTTGTAAATTAACTCATTTTCGGATTTCACCAGTGTGGATTTTCCAACGCCCTTGACTCTCGTAGTGGTTAGTTAGACTGCGGCGATTAAATGAAGTGAGTAATGGAAGACTGATCGTGGTTGGGCATGAAAAAGTGACTGTGGTGAAACTGCAGAAGTAAACTCCGAGAATGACGGGGTCTGTTTTACGCAGGGGCAAGTTGTGCCTCCCGCCACAAATTTGACTCGCCTACACGCATGATCCTCCCATCTTCAAATAACTATTCCGCGAAATATCTGCTATAAATTTCTGACCCTTTAGATCCGATGACAAGCATCGTATTCCTCCACCATTGGCACGACGTGAGGTGGCCATAATTGCCCCGTCCAAAGTAGGCTAGAACCAGAACAAGGCCTACTCAGTCGATTGAAAATATAATAAGATTTCATATCCGTCACGCACGACAATCCACAAAATGAAAGCTTCTCTATTTCTCTCTCTCTCTCTCTCTCTCTCTCCGTCGTCTACATCATCGGTTTCTCTACACATTGCTGCCTTGAGCATCTTCCTAACCTCAAGAAATTAACGCGACTGTAACTTCCACCGAACTGCTTGATTGTCGCTTTTCTTTGCTGGAGCGAAAATGGAGACAAATCATGCTTTCAGATAATTATTAGCATATCACGATCCAGCTGTTGACTGTCACGCGAACATTCGAGGAAACAAGATATACATGGACCCTTGGAGTTCACGTTTCTCTCGCTGCCTGCATCCTTCAATTTCGCCACTCTCTCTATCTCTGTTGTTTAATTTCAATAAGCGTTAAAAGCTTCAATCGTACAGTAATCGCGGGTAGGAGGTAAATATGAGAACGGAATGCTTAGGAAGACCCATATCCTTGTACGTATACAAGAATTTGGACCAGCTATTCACAAGAGAGCAATAGCTGATTTGCCCACGTACAACTTTTACACTTCTGAATATTGTATTCTTTTGAAAAAATCTGCTAATTTATTCCGACTTTTGTTTGTTTGTGAGTTTGAGGTATACAAGGAAGAATTCAGAAACAATCATCACGTCAAACGTTTGAAAGACTTTGCTGGAAAATATAAGATAAGATTCAACTGGTCTCTTTTCGAGTCTGTCGAGTCAAAGTTTCAAGTAGAAAGTCGAATGAGTGTGGTTCACTTTTAGGCGAGTCGAGCTTTAGAATGTCGTTCTGCCCTGCGTTGATTCCTAACCCAGAATCCTGGAAGTCAGAAAGGCCAATTCAGCCGCGTGCCAATTGAAGATCAGTCTGTGGTCACATAACTAGTGTCTCGAGTGAACCGGAAATCTTTCAAGAAGGGTAAGAAATCATGTGACCGAGGGAACGCTCTTCAATCTGTTCCGTTCAGTTCTTGCTACCATCGGCAGCCTCACAGTGAAACTGGTCACCCTCCCACCCATACTGCGGGAGTACCGTCGATGTCCCGTGTCATGATGAGCATAGTTGGATACAATGTCCTGTCTACTCAGACCTACATGTCAAAGACGAAGTGAGCTATTCTCCTGCACTGCACGGGACAGTACACAGGAGCGCAGACGACAGGTTTTCGCATGAGATGATCGTACAGTCGGTTGGACGTGCGAGAGTTCAGGCAGCTGCATCGGCGACTTTCGTTGACAAGATGAGTTTCTCCTTGTTTCTCAGGAGCTTTTCTGAGAAGTTTCGAACCACTGAAGCAAGTCCTATCACAGCACAGGAGTCAAGCCGGATTGGCTTCGCTGGTCAAGACTTCACTTCGCAGGCCCCCGAGATTGATTGAATGACATTGTAAGTATCGGGATCTGTGGGAAGAGGACCGGCTTTTGGGGACCTGCAGCTGCTGATTCAGTTTCGAGGAACACCACAAATGCAATTTAGCTCAAGCAGCGCCACAACTCCCTCCAAGTTACAGAGAATCTCACGAGCAAAATTTTGATTGTATCCAAGAGCTGCCCACCATGAAAACTTGTATCAAACGTATACAACAACTTTAACATTGTCCACTTGTCGCATGAGCGATTCATGTTTGCAGTTGGGTGACGATTCGAGAGCGACAAGTGAGCTCAGTGGGCTGGGGACAAGTTTTTGACTAGAAGCAAGGATTCGTCACGGCGAGATTTGGACTTATCCCGTTCAGCCGGCGGGCCTGGCAGAGGAACAATTCAAGTCAAAAGTCAACACCTGTCGATTATCTGCAGAAAGCACTTGATCGTTTCACGATCAAGCTGGGCTTACGCGCCAATGTATGTATGATCGATCGAAGTGAGCATATCCTGGGCCCTGGCCTTCGAGTCACTCGACTATTGTACAGAACGGTGAAAAAGCTTCTGCTCATGCTCGTACTGCAAGACACTTTGCCACTGATGCATGCGCAGAGGCCAAGCCGATGGATATGCTCACAAGGTCAAGTCTGGAGCTCTGATCCCATCACCAGTACAGTACTGTGCAGCACAGTACTCCTCCTGTGCTCGGGCCTCGAACAAATCTACAGCTCAAACCATAAATGCCATTTTGGGCAAGCAGAAGCAGTTCTCGACGTGCCAGCATTGGCCAGCAACAGATCATAGACAGATCATAGCAGTGCCAGAGACAGAATTCATTGACGGGCCCTACCAGAGGCACACAGGCAGGCCAACTCTGAACTCGATCCAAGTTCACTTTCGGGGTGGCTCCAAATCATGCGACGATGCTCTGACCGATCCATGGCCGGCCTCGACAAAACCAACTAGCGGGGCTTGACGTCGCCCGACCAATGGCAGCCGTCGGGCCCAAAGACTTGCCAAGGGCGTCATTGACACACCGCTCGCTGCTCATGGAAGGGACGGCGTGAGCTCTGCCGACGCTGTTGACGCGCTCCTTCACGTGCCAACCTTTGGCCACCGCGCCGACCTCGACGAGTTGCCACACTAGGCTCTCTCTTGCAATCGTAAAGCGAGCCGAGTGACGGACGAACGATAACGAACCGCCTCAAGCTCCACGCCATTGCACCGATCTCGCATCTGGAGTTCGGGGCCCTAAACCCTGGCCTACGACTACACGAGCACAGCCAGCCAGTAAGTAGCCAGATCCCGCGACGGGCACGCGTTCTATTTTCCGAGCTGGTGCATCTGCTTTCCCAGCGCTGTTCTGCTGCAATCAATCATTCGGGCCGACGGGGCCTTATCTGCAAATCCTACTGAGCCTACTCTCCTTTTCTCGGTCTCTCTCATTGCCGTATGCGCCGTACTCGCTTTGGCAGGCAGTGACCCACCGAATGCTCGTTCACTCGCAGAGAAAGCGACAAACCTCTTCCCCACGATGGCAGGCCCGATGGAAACAGTCGACCGACGGATGCGGGCGAGGGTAGAGGACCACGCAATGGCAAACAGTGTGATCTGCGCGCTGGAGTTCAACCATCAATGCGATGCTGTGCAGTGCAGTGCGATGCGATGCGATGCGCTAGAGCTGAGTAGTTGTGATGTGAGCGCGGGACCAAATGTAATTTAATTCGTCAAGAGTTGAAGCTTTCTTGAACTTTATACACCAGAATTTCGTGAGTCCAGACGCATGCTCGAGCTCTTATGAGTCAGGCCGTGGGTGATATTGATTCACCGACGGAGGCTACACATGTGTCTTACAAATATTCGTCTGCCGGAGGTCTCCTTGACAGACGAGGATCAGAAGGCAGAACTATTACGTAGAAGCTCCACATGAGTTGAGTTCCCATCTCGACGACGACCGACGTAAGAAAGCGGCACGTCGCATTTAATTTGATCCGGTAATGTGCGCGAGTTGCACGAACTCAATGCATATCCCGCGAGCTCATAGAAGAATTAATTTACAACTAACTGCTTGCTGTTCGAGAAAATTTTTTTATCGAGTGTTCGTGTGGTAGAGGTCGGGTTCATGAGAGGTTACGAGCCTCAGCGTAGCTGGTCGATGGCGCAGCTGGAGCTTCATCGTGAGCCTCGGCTCCAGCGCACCACCGCATTTATCTGCAACGATTGTACATGAGCGATGCTGCCTGCTTGCCTGCCTGCCGTCGAAAGAAGTGTACCCCGCAGTTCCGTGCGCACTCGTGCCCTCGCTCGCGCGTCGTGGAGGCGGGGAATGTCGGAAGAGCTTTGCGCAACCAGCCCAGCCCCTGCGTCCGCTCGCTCGCTTCTGCCAGCCTCTGCTGCTGCTGCTGCTGCTGCTGCTTCTTGATGGTGGCTCGCTCGGTGACGCGGACCGATCGAAGCTCGGCCGGTGACGTTTAATTTAGGGTGATGAGCATGTACACAATCAACAATCAACAATCTCAATCAATCGTTCGATGCGTCCGGCCCGTGCGTCGGTCGGTCCGTCGTCGGCGTCGTCGTCGTTGGGGCTATTGTTGCTTCTCGTCGAGTTGCCATTGCAGCTTCTCGGGGTCGCCCGGGCTCCTGAAGGTTTGCAGCGCGAAGTCCCGCAGCCTCAGATCCTCAATTTCGCAGAACCGCTGCTCCCAATCGTCGGGCTTCACCGCCTCCGTGCCCAGGCCCGGCGTCCTGTCGCGCGAGCCCTTGTTCTCCGCCTTCTGCCAGTCCGTGGTGTACGTCCCGGCCCTCCGCACGAACTTCATCTTGAAAACGTCCCACGCCTGCATCCCACACCACAACCAACCACAATTATCATCATCATCATCATCATTCTCGTCATCGCCATCGTCGGCACCGACATCATCATCGCATCAGGTCCTGCCTCGGCACTCCTCACAATCACACCCACATTGCAATCGAATGCTGCCGAATCCGCGCAGCCTCTGCGAGCAACGAGAGAATCGTACCTGAAACTTGTAGTGATTGACGACGGCCACGCTGCGCATGAGTTTGACGGAGTGGAAGTTCGTGCGCAGCTCGAAGTGGTGGAGCACGTTCAGCAGGCTGTTGTTGACGGCGTCGAGCAGGACGATGGACTTGTGGCGCTCGGGGTTTTTGAGGCGGCAGGTGTAGCCCACCGTCACTCCTTGCTCGGGGCTGTGGTCCAAGCCCGAGGGCCCGAAATTGTGGCAGTCGAATTGGATCTCGCCCAGCACGCCGCCGCCCGTGCTGCTGCGCACCTTCTCGCTCTCCGTCTCGATCACGCGGTGCAGCACCTTGGCATCGGTGCCGTCCGAGTGCTTGGTCTTGGCCAGATAATACGGCGGAAATATGTACTCGTCCACGTCCACGAACATCACCCACTCGCACTCCTCGCGCGCCAGGATGGTGCAATGCGAGAACGCCGCCTGCTGCGTCTTGATCCACGGCCACACCATGCGACTGATGTTGTGCGCGAACAGCGACTCCACCACCTCCTCGATGTTGTCGTCGCTGTCGTTGTCGTACACGAAGTAGCGCTCCACTCCGAAGAAGCTGTTGTACATGACCCACTCTTTGATGAAGCGCGCCTTGTTCCAGACCATGGTGCAGGCGCACAGCTTGCGCTTCGGCGCCGGCGCTCCGAAGCCGTCGAAAGGCTCCGATTGCGCCAGCGCTAGCGCCGACGACGACGACGACGACGAGGAATCCGAGTCCGAGTCCGAATCCGCATCCGCGGTCGAGATGGAATTCGAGGCCGAGGTCGAGGCATCGACGTCGCGGGCGCGGGGCGTGATGGCGAACGACTCCATGAAGAAGTCGGGGCGGTTGTCGGGGTTGTAGTAAGTGGCGGACGGGATGACGCCGAGCCAGTGCGCGCTGACGCTGAGGTGGTAGCCGCGCATGCGCTCCTCGAGGTGGGGCGGGGGCTTCTCGCAGCGCACGATCTCCTGCGCGGCCGTGAGCACGCGCGTCTCGAACACATTCTTCGACGAGAGCTTCTTGCCGAAGACGCAGCGCACGCTGTTGACGTCGATGCGCTTGGAGCTCTTGGTGACCAGGCCCTTGACCAGCAGCACGAGGCTGTCGGTGTCCAGCAGGCTCTCGTAGACCATGTAGTCCCAGGTGGGCAGGCGCTGCGGATTGTACACGGCGTTCGACTGCACGCGGATGTCGCTGTCGCGGATGCCCAGCGTCACGTTCTTGTGCGATTTGCCCGGGAACTCCTTCACCCATGCGGGGCGCGAGCAGCGCACCATCTGCAGATCCTTGGTCCGCGGCTTGATGCTAACCACTGGCGTGGTGCTCTGATTTTTCATGCCTCCGAATCTGCACTCCAGATTGTCCATGTTTCCTATGAGATCTATCGTGTCCGGCACCCTCACCAGCAGCATCACATTGTCGGGGAACACCACCGCGTCCTGCACGTAGATCGAGCGTTGCGTGTCGGGTCTCGAGATCCGCAGAATTGAGTCCTCCTCGGACGAGATGGCCGGCAAATTGGCCAGCTGATGCAGATTCACGTTCACTCGCGCCTTCGTCACAGGTCCTGCACAGCAACACAACGCACAGACGGCAGGTTAGATCTAGATCTTGGTCGACGCTTGGACTGCAGGCAGGGCGATTCGCGGGGCAGGGAAGGGACGTACCCTCGAGCCATTGGCCCCAGATCACCGTGGTCACGGTGCACACGCAGGCCAGCACCAAGCAGGTGGTCCATGTCCTCCAGAGGCTGATCGTCGGGGCAGGGGCCGCTTCGATGCCTCCCGACAGAAGCGATTTATCCTTGAGGGGGCTTTTCCGTCTTTCGACGATCTCCATATTTATGGCAAACCAGGTAGATCCCCCAGATGTTCTAAGATCCGGGTTCAATGACTCACCATCAGAAACGGGTACATTCACAATGCTAACTTGGACTCGCGGTGGCTTGCAAGTTTCGAGCTCAATTCAGCTTCCCCGAATCCGAATCTACCTGCTGCTGCTGCTGCTCCTCCTGCTGGTAACTATCTCCTACCTGAGCAAGCACCATTTAATCGTAGCACGAAATTTCGTCAAATCCACGACAAAACACGCACGCTCAAGCATGAGTCTGACGAGAATTTTGTCCTCAGCCCAGGACAATCAGGCGCGAGACAGGAAGGCAGACAGACCCCTCAGATCCAGTCCACTTCATTCCACATGAGCCTGCCTCCCGGAGTGGCACCGCTCTTTGAAGTGCCCCCTCCCTCCTGCGCGCCCTCCCTCCCTCTTCCTCCTCCGGCACTCCTTGCTTCGTTCCGTCCAACCAACAAATCGAACAACCCAACCCCAGCGTGTCACAAGCCTTGGTTCGCTCGCTCGTTCGCTCGCTCGATGCGAGCAGGCAGACGGGGCGGGCGGACTGGCTGGCAGGCAGGCAGGCAGGCAGGCGCGCGGGCGGGCGGGCTCGCTAACAAATTCCCGGCCGCATGTCCTGCGTGTCCATGAACCTCTCACGAGCTCAACCCAGCGACACTTTTCCTCACGTCAGACGGGGCGGGGGGCGCTCCAGCTTCGTCACGGCTTTCGTTGCATATAATAATATCGCAGGGCTCCGTCGACCCTCTCGCTCGATCGCGATTCCTCTCGTGCAGCTCGGCCTGCGCTCCTTCCTGCTCGCTCTCCACGCTACAGTCGCCGGCCACCGCCCCCCTGCTCGACGGAGCCCTGCGACTCTCCTTGAGCGCGAGCCAGAGATTCGCCCCGAGCACTGCTCTGCTTGCGCTGCTGCTTCTTAGATCCCCCGCCCCGCCACGACCACCCGCCCCGGCCGGTCGTGTTCCGGACTCGGCGCCCCGTCTCCTCTTCGCTGCCGACGACGAGCAGCAGCCCATGCGCCAGTCCCCGCACGGCAGGATCTCTGGCGACTCCCGATGAAGGTCCCGTCCCCCTTCACCCTGTCGGGTCCTCCTCGGCCTCTTCACCTCCCTCCCTCCCTTAAACCCTCCCTCCGTTCACCGGCGAGGTGACGTGCCGTTTTCATCGTGTCCCTGATCGCCCTCCAGCCGGTGAGTCGGTAAGTAGCCTGGCTACGGTACCTCGCTCTCCTCCCTCCCTCCCTCCCTCCCTCGATGCAACGGAGCCGAGCCGCTATCGTCTTTGCGGGCCGCTTTGTCCTTTCGCTCGCTAATCTGACCCCGTTTTGTCGCCACCTCCAGGATATCGACACTCTCGGCCCTGGGGGGGTCGTGGACTCCGGTCCACTAATCGGACGGCAGGCGGCTCTGCATCGACATCACTCCGATCCGATTTCGGCAATTTTCGCTCGTCGTCTTGCTCGCTTCGTTTGGCCGTTCTTCGTCGATAATTGAAGAGTCCGGTCAGGAGTCGCTGGATCTGGGCTCTGTACCGAACGTACAGTAGAGCGACAGGCTCGTCTCCGCAGCTGTCCACCACAAACTCCTGTCCGTCGTCTGCGGGAGCTCAGTTCTGCGATATGATGACGTGTGGTGCATGGCTCGGCTAACGGGAGTCGGAGTTAAATTAAGCTGCGCTGAACCACGTGGGGGTGCATAATGAGCAGAGAATTTCCCTTGCGAGACAGGGACGGATCGCAAGGAGGGCCGTGCACAAGCCGGAGGCCCCGTATTTCAGAGATCGTCGCTATTAATGTCAGGAACTCACCGATCTGGACAACGCTTAGATAAGGTACCAGCTCGGTTCCTAGCTCAGGCTAGCGTTTCATGTGCGCCAGAGGCATCCCGGGCCCTACACCGATATCCACTTTGACCTCCTTTTAATAGTTCGGGCTCAGAGTTTTCTATTCTGAGGCGTACGCAGTCTGCTCAGCCAGCCCGCAAAGTCAAGATCCCGAGGACCGAGATTCTGCTATTCCCCGTTTTATGATCATTATTGAGGCCCAACTACGTTCGCCATCAACCACAGACCACATCACCTAATCTTCTTGCCCTGTGTTTGACTTACAGAATGTTGTACACAGATTTGATGATACTTGTGGAGTGAAGATTCTTCTGGCCGAGGTTCAGCATCTCAGAGTTCATACCCACCGTACCGAGCCGTGCAGACAATCATATTAGAGGCATACATTGATTTCACCCCACGTCTTATATGATACTCAATCTTGACTTGACAGAGTAATAAAAATATAGTCCAATTTGTATTTTTATTATCCTGTATTCTCACTATTTACCCTTGGGACAAATTTGAATGAAACGCTTTGATGATTTATAGAAATTCCGACACATGTGAACATAAATCTATGAATCACCCACTTCAGTATCTCTTTGGGATTAAACTTGAAAATTGTGCAACGAATATAATAAAGTATTATTATTAATTTATAGTATAATATAAACTGTTCAAATTTTTAAAAATTACAAAAATGAATAATATTTTCATTTCTAAAGATTTGATATTTCTATTAAAAAAAATAGGCGGTAAGAACGTTCATATATTTGAGAATAAAACACTAACCTAAACCTGTTATTAGTTGTGTAATGCCGAATCCATATCATATTTGTGAGATAAGCACTTAATTCATTATTGAACCAAATCCAATGGAGAAATATCAATCGAAATGCACGACCTATATGTACGATCAATATTTGGTTTTCAATCATATGATGAATTAAAAATTGATTGCTTCATGGTTAAATTTAGCCTGCGAGATTTCATATGAAATGAAAAAAATCCAGTAATTAAAACATATCAAAGTCATCTAATCTTGATGTTCAGTTATAAACTCAAAATCATTTTATTAATGAGCAAACTCATTGTTTTATATTAACGAATTTATGTTTGCACAGAGAATTGATTCATATTCATAGGATTATCTTCATTATATTTTCTTAAAAATAATGCAACATGTACCCATCATCACATTATACGACATGAAACTTTCTTGTTTATTCTTAGAAAAATCATTAAAATAAATCAAATTTCACTTAAATGATAGACTACATCTAATTTTTGGTATTATATATTGTTTAAAAAGTGATTTCATTTTTTGAAAAAAATCTCTTTAATGTTATATAATAACTATAGTCCAATTGCATCTGAAGAAAATTAGTATAAATGTCAAGAGATTTAGCACAATACTTTGAAATGAGGAACCATTTTGAAGATAAAAAAATCTAGAATATAACCTCATATATAAAGCACATGAAAAATTAAAGAAACACTTTATAAACAATACGTAGTTTGTAAGTAACAACATTCTCACTCATGACATTGGATTGAATCTTTGGTTATTGTCATCTATAATAAAACCTCAGTATAGCACTAATACTACCCTTGATATGCTCGTACTTCCCACAATGGAGGCTTCAAGTTATCTCTCGGGATATCACACCAGGAACTTAGCCAATATCATGTTCTTTTTCCAGCCAATACATCTATGAAATTCATTGACAACCTATATCTACATTTTACGCCTCTGTTCAACATCATAATGGTAATGTAAAAGTAAGTCTGATCTCCAAACACAAGGGTGTCTCGGATTGGCATTGATACTTTATAACTTAGTATTGCATAAGGAGATTCTCCTTCAAAGTATGTCAATGCATGCCATCATTTGAATATATTCCACCTTTTATGTTTTCTGTACACATCACAAGCAAACATGTTTGAAATTCTGAAAATAATGAATGGTTTCCTAGCTCTATCAATGACAACATCCTTCTCGTTATGGTATGTTATTCGGAGATCATTTAAAGCTACCCTTATTTTTCTTCTTTGGATCCCTTTACACTTGGCAATGGATACTCGGGCACTTTCATACTGTTAAAGAAGTGGGCCAGGCAGCAAATCTGAACTTCCGACCTTTGTCAGTGTTCCTCTATGTTTCGCAAGCATGGCAGTCGGTTGCAATTCTTACTCAGAAATTAACTGAACTTCAGATCGAATTGGACAAATTGGACCATACATCACGCGCGTAGATAGTCAGAATCTGCGTGAGCGAGCGGAGAAGAGCAAATTGTAGGAGATGGAGTGCAATTCTTCTTCACGCGACACTTGGGAAACTCAGCAGCGGGAGGTAGAGCAAAAAGGGTACAAGAAAGCGTCATTTTCAGATGGGTCAATGAGGGCCTAACCGGCGAGATTGGGTCTCAAAGCCAACATACCTTTCTTTGTCGAGTAAAGTAGAAGAAAAGGAAAAAGGGGGCAAGGAAATAGGAGAAAGGACGGGAAAGGAACCGTCCAGCCCAACAACAAGGATGAAATGGGCAACCAGAAGCCAGGCCCCAATAATATCACATGGTAAAACAAACATGGAAAGATAGCAAACCGGAACCTGCACAACGTAATGCAGCTAGGCTAGAGGTCCTGAAAAGCACGCTGCCATGTACGCTGTCCTTTAAGTACTACGGATCGCCTGGCACTGCGTTCACCTAGTACGCTCAGTTCTCTCGGTTACCAGGTGTCACGATCCAGTGGCCCCGGGTCACGTCCAAAGGGTCGCCCTCGCCACTTGGTCGGGATCCAAGGACTCGGGGACCGGCTGGTTGTCAGGCAGTCAGGCCTAACGGAGGCCAAACGGAGGCCGCGCGCCGCCGTCGCCGTCGTTCTGATGGAAGGACGTCTGACGTTAGCGTCGGTCGAAGGCCGGTAGCCTTCTAACAGGAACTTCCGAGTGAGGCCCACGAGGAGTCTGCAACAAAAGGAGCATGATTCTGAGTTCGATTGTGATTAGGGAGTGAGGGATTAAAGTGGAGAGTGGCGGGTGCAAGTTTATGTCACTCCAGCTCGAGGGAATACGGAATGTCGACCAACGGCAGCGAGTGGATTGACTGCATGTACATTTTGTGTCGTGATCGGTCACAATGTCCAATGATGGCCGGCTCGTTGGCTGAGACATCTGCTGTACACGCTGCGATGGACGCATCAGGTGCCAGGACGCAAGGCTTCACTTCTGGCGCGCGGGCGCCAAATCATGGCAAGTGCTCGCACGGCTCGCTCTACCTCGACACAGTAGAAGGAAGTCTCCGGGTCTTTGGGGGCAGAATCAGAATCAGAACGCTGTAATATACCATTGTTTTATTCCGGGCTACTCGCGTTGCCTTCGGCTCCTTTATCTTAATTTCAAGTCATTTGCATTCTCACCGATCGTCCATGGTATCCGATTCCGGAGGAAATCAAGCCTCAGCCTGTGAGTAGATTCCTGGACTAGTTTGCCTCCTTTGGCGTTTTTATACAACATGGCCAACACCCCTCGCAGAGAGTTCCAAATTGCAACTCCCACGCAGAATCGGGCGTCGTGCATGCGGGCTGAGAAATCCAAGTTCTCGCTTCTGACGGCTTCCGGATCCAGGAATCAGGTTGGGGCCTGGAAGAGACAGACAAAGTCTAAAGAATGGAGGGAATGAGCGAGTAATCGGGTCGGGCATTGAGATGAGCAGTATGCAGTCGCAAAGACCAAGCCAGCCAGCTAATGGCGATGAGGATGGCATCGGAATCCTGATCCTATGAGCCCTACTAAACTAGATACTGATGGCTAATCATTGAACAAATTGTAAAGAAAGCATGTAACGCAATTCGTGTCCATAAACAAAGCCCAGATGAGCTTTTCTATCTCGCGAAATGAACCTTCGTCTATCCGGAATGAGCGTCAATTGAGACAGAATCAAACATTGTCATCAGCTCCGAGGCTCTGTGTTCTAGAGCCAATCTAGCATATCCCGGAGCCATGAAGTCATCTACTGGCGATAGTCGATACTGACCTCTCTCCGTACTGTAGGATATTTCTATCCCAAAGGACGCTCCAGGGATGCCTCCAGGCTCGAAGGTCTCGGCAGTCTACACTCTAGAAGCGCAACCGGTGGCTGCTCGCATTCTTCCGCGACCCCCACCCTTGACAAAAAGTTGTGAGTGCCAGAGGAGGGAGAATCTGCCACGAGGCCGGGGGAGGGAAGGAGGCAAGGAGGGATGGTCCCGAATGCATGGCGTGCGTAACACGAAGTGCAGAAGAGCGAGGGCGAGGGTGGGGGGGATTGCACGATGTTTCACGTCGGGTCATCACGTCAATCCATGAAGACCAGACATGTACGAAAGAAATCACAAAGTTCGGATGGAAAATCCTCCGGTGCCCTGCCCTCAACAGCGCTCGCCGATCCTGCTGGCCGAATCTGCAAAGGACCGTCCGTCGCTGTCTCCATGTCTCGCGCCCTCGACTTGTGAAAGGTCAGTGCATGATCCATCCGTCACTTCTCGCGCATGGCAGCTCGAGGCATTGCTGATGGACACTGCTCGCTGCTACTTGTGATCCCTGAGTACTTACGCCTGCGCTTCAGCAAAGTGAACGACGGGGTTGCTCAGGCGCCCGCCGCCATGGGGTTCACAAATTGCCAGATGCCCCTCCCGCACGCACTCACGGCACGGCGCACACACGACGCTGCACAGCTCCGTTGAACCATGCTCTCGGAAACTCAAAACTTCCTTCACTCTCTTCACCCAGTGACGTCCTTTTGCCATGACAGACGCCCTCGTAGCGCTTTTCAACAAAGCAGCTCCAAAACTGCAGGAAACTGTAGCACTGTTCGCATCATCCAGGTACAGTACTGGGTTGCGCATACACGCACCTGACGAACTAAGCTCGAGCAGCTGTTGGTGTGGTTACACATGTGCTTGAATGGCACCAGCCGCTCTCGACGTCCTAGATTAAGCCGGGCTGGATGGATTCTGCCGGGCTCTAGGGTTGGTTGCCTTCGCATGCCTAGCACAACCGCAACCTTTGACGACAAGCCTTGGCGTCATGTGCAAGTCGAGTCGCAGACGAGGCTCAGATTAACACTCGGGCCCTGACACACGGATCCCGTCCCAGCGCACGTTCATGATGTTCCATGCCTGTGACTTCTCACGGGATCAAGACCTGACCAAACTTTACCATATTTGCCAGTTTCGTCGAGTATTTTACGTTCCCTTGGAGAAGGATGTACCGTACACGGCCATTTTGGGAAAAAGTTTTGATGCTGGTTTTCAGCGGAATGAAGTTCCACGTCTTAGGGCGTATGGACTCCGACGGTGGCTTTCGAACAGGTCTCACCTCTATCGCCGACACGATGGATTTCCTCGGGAAGGCCTCGGAGGGAGATGAGACCGCGCATCCCACGAGTGCTCGATCGTCGCTGATATCAGCATCCGGGTTAGAAAAAAATGCCTTCTGGGGTACATAGGACTTCCTAAATACCAGGTATCACGGTTGTCACTGCTATTCGATTGACGAAATTTGTTTCGGCCTGAAACCGAAGGGGAGGCTGTTGTGGTCGATGGTTTACGATTTGCTTTGTCTGCACAGCTTCTCAAAGACTCTGAACCGTTAAAGGTTCCAATACCCAGTCTTCTTCCGTGGGAGCAGAACGGCGTGCTCAAACATGGTCATGATGTGTCTACAACGCTTGTTACAGTTCTATTGGGCCTGCTATTCATTCGGAAAACGTAGTGAGACGAGAAATTGATGCAACACCCTTTCTATAAACCAAAATTATAAGACCAAACAAGTGAGGACCTGTGGGCAAGCTTTACTCAGAAATGTGATACGATGTGAGTCAAGAGTAACGTAATGTAATGACGGCCAACACCACCTCGCCAAAGCCCATTGAATTGAGGGAGGGGGTGGTGTTCCTGTTTCCACAACTGTTCACATAGAAACAAATGAATTATGAATGTGTTCCCACATATTTCTAAGCCCTAGACGGCTTCTTCCGGACAGAGACCCTGGGCAATTGGGCAATTGATCGCAAGTCCCAGTTCTATCTCAACTACTGCTGGTGGATCAGACAAAAATTTCAAATGCTGGAACGAGAATGCGCCGTAACCTTGTTTCAGGTTGAAATAAAATCTATGGTAGCTGATGCCACCAATTCAACTTGCTTCATCTCAACAACCCAGGGCGGTATAATTACAAGTTTAGACACGAATGAGAATTTATACCCTCCGGCTAAATCCTTCGTCTCCACTATCGACAACGGATTCGAAACTCTACTTGAATCCCTTGTCTGTGCTCTTGAGCAAAAAATGAATAGGCCGTGATGGCACACTCGATTTATGATAGTAAACCGATAAGTACTACCTGACTTGCTCCTCAAGCGGTGGACGTGAATTTGCCAGAGATGCCAGATCGACACTTGCGGCAGAGGCCCTAACAGGTAGTTGATTCGTTGAATTCGGAGAATGTGTACTGATAGCACTCGGAAGCCTTGGAGGTAGAGGTAACGATTCAACCTCGTAAGCAGGACCTCCATTGAAAGTCTTCCTCAAAAGTTCTACAGACATAAACGTTAAACCAGCAGCGGGCACAAACCACATAATACGAGGCACGGCCCCTTTGAATAGTCCTGGAATACGTTCTTCTTTCCAGATAGTTTGTAGGGCATCCAGCCATCCTTTGTACCTGGACTCACGTGTACAAGGAAGTAATCGCTTTGTTAGAATTCGGCTTGGATGATGGATGAGTCGGCTTGGATACTGTTGAAGATCCGAAACTATTAACATATCATCCACTTTCAAAACTGTCAATTGACTTATTCTCCAAGATGTCACTGTGATTTCCGCAGAGATTCCATCATAGGCAATCCTATCTGCCTATTTCCCCGACTGACGCTTAATAAATGAGATCGGACTCTACAATATGAAGACTCTACAACTCGTACCACGTGACCCTAAGCACAGAGAAGTCTTTAAAAACTCTATACGTCATAAGCTACACTCAAGAACATGCTTCATAAAACAGCAGTAATAAACTTGGTCCTAAATGCTGACATCCAGAAAAGATGTAGATCATAGTCTTCTAAGTCCCTTGAAATCCAGGAAACATTACAATCCATTATGCAACAAGTATAATACCGTATGTTGGTGCCTTGCACTTGGAGCCTTGTTTTGATGATATCCATGGGTGTAGTCAAAAAAGCACTAATACCTACGTAAACACATTACGACGAGGGTTAGATTTCAAATTGTCAACTCGACCTACAACGCAAAAATATTGATTTCACTTGATGAAACTTTTTAAAATTTAGTTTATAAAATTTGGTTGCCTGGAGTTCTTTTCCCAACTGCTCCATTCATTGCCCACATAACCTTAACAGTTGAATGAATGAACATTAAATGAAATAAATAACCAGAATGTGATAAACAATGAGCAACAACTTCGACCTTATCTACGATGCCAACCAGCTCACTAAGCAAACATTAAACGTGAAGTTTTGTCCAGTAACGCTTGAAACTTTCACTCATAGAACTTTTGTTGTATCGCACTACATATCAAATAACAGGTAACAGGTTAACCAACTCAATGAGCGTCCATTCGATATGAACGTGAACCGCGTGATTTAGTACGTTCGTTCTATCGCACAACTACATATCAAAATAAAGTAGTAAACTACTCGTGTACAGAGAATGCCATCCGTTCTTTGAACAAGCATTATCCAGATATAGTAAAACTCAAATAAATGTCCATGAGGAATACATAAAAGACCAATATTCATACCGCCGGCAGCTCCACCCAGTACAAGCTCCTCAGCTGAGCCAAACTCATACTTCGATGCAGAAGACACAGGGCGAGAAAGTCGAGCATGATTCCACACCACAGCCTCTCTAAACGCTTCGTAGAACATTATCTTCAAAATCAAAGGAGTCAAACTTAAGTCACCATACTATAACCTTACAAATGGAGTTTGACTACAAATTGAATTGAAAAGTCGATGTACCTGGAAACCAGCAAAGGGGACGTCTCTAGCCAAGGTGGAAAAATATCTGCCAGATAGGAATCACGTATTAGCTTGAGTGCGGGAATTTTTGAAAACAGAATGCTCAGCAATTACATATTTGAAATCCGCTAATAATTTGCTCCGACGATGACCAAGTAATAAAACATACGTCACTCAAGTAGAGATTTCCAACACCCATTTTCTGTGCAATGTGATTGTTAGAAGCGAATGGAGTGCCGGTACAACTTTGACCTTCAATACATCTATACCATTTCAAATTGAGAAACAAAGATGAAACAATAAACTCAAACATTGACATCGGATTCGTTCACAACTATGCCTAAAAATTACCCAGCATATAGACCATGTACACCTTCGTGTCGTAAAATGTGCTTTGCGGCACTAAAAACACCTGTATAATAATAAGCACCTCCTGGTGCCTTGTTCAACTGAGTCATACTCGATTGCCATGCTTTCTTACTGCCCTGAATTTGCATGCGTTGTTTGATCACTTCGCATGGAACATAGACTACTGAACCCAGTGTGTCACCTGTGAAAATAACATTCAAGTTTTTGAAGATTTAGTTCATATTTCCACTTAACGCGAGCCACAGAACATTTAATGCAGCAACATAATGCACGTGAACGTGAACATCACAATAAAACAATCAATGTACCAAGACTTTTAAAGCTGTTGACACCTCACCAGCTGCTCCAGCGAGAAAGTGAGCCCAAGGACCAGCTAAACTTGGATTATTGACATTCAACCAGTCCTTCGTTGTCTCTATGAAACCAAAATATGTTGCTCCAGTCGCTAGGGAACCGGTCATGCCTGGGATGACCCCTCGATAAAAACCTATACAGATGTTTCAGAGAGGAGTTCGTATTCATTCTCAAGTTAGGAGGAACTCTCTCCAACAGACAAAACAACTAAAACACGTACAACCCAATCTCCTATTGACAATTGCAAGACGATTTTACAAGAGGACGTCCACAAGTTTGAAATATCCCTCATCAGATAATAACAAATCTCACTGGTGTAAAATCTACAAAATGGTACGTATTATAAGACGTACAATACAGATTTGAAACATTGATATACACAGAGAAAAATGTAAATATGTATCCTCTCGACTCTAAAAAAAACGTAGGACGTGTGTGAGAAAGCTTCCGAAGGCACTGCGGCAGCTTTTGCAGATATAGCATATGGCATCACGCACCTTGAAACCCATCTCGTCTTAGAATCCCCTTGAATCCTTCTCGAATAACATTGTGTTTCTGAACATATGATGACATATATAAGTTTATGAATCCTTCTCGAATAACATGGTTTTTCTGAACATGTGAAATGTTTATGTTTCTATAATTGCAACCGCTTGATTTTATAGATGGTCTTTGTCATCCGATCGGGAAGATCAGATTCATATGATAACTTGATCATACGGTAGGCTCCACTTGATCGATTGTGCTGTCACCACCCATAACGCTGAGTTCTCAAGTTTCAGAAGAAGTTTCGCACGTGATCATCATTCAATAGACAATGCGAGGACAGACCTTGACAAATCTGAATCTGATGTCATTATACATTCCTTCAATGACGTGTGACAAAGAGGGATACTAAAGATGTGCAGAATCAGTGCATCGAAGGGGCTTTCAACTACTCTGAATGGGTCTGAAAAGGAAAGGTCTTTTCAAGTAATTGAGGTTCAATGTTAGGGCACGAATCACCCAAGAATGTAGAATTTCAAGCTAAAGCAGAGCTGAATGAATCTAGAAAGAAAAACAAACACCAAAGAGGTGGTTGCGCATAGAATGTAGGAGTGAAAGCAGAACATCTGATCAGAGCCACTGAGAAAAATTACAGATAGATTTCCAGAAAAAAGAGAAAAACGAGCTCACTTGAAGATTAATTCCGGTTGAGCTCCCGCTTTGAATTCGAGTTTTGAGAGTGTCCATGGGATGCATGATCGTCTCCCCAATTACCCCGGCCATTCCGCCCCATAGAAACTCTTTCCACATCCCACTCATGGCAGGTTGTAGCAGGTTGCCACTCACTGCTCTTCTCACAGGTGATAATCCTCACCATCCCCAACGTCCTCCTCTTTCATGCGAATCCATTCCCTCGATGTCTTCTGCTGTCCTCACCACACCCTGTTCCTTCCTAGCACGAAAAACTCATAACTTTCTGGAACCGAATTTCCACTCCAACCTACCAGCATCACGGCAGATCGCACACCACCGACAGTGCTCCACATCCAGGGGCACAGACGCATGCGAGCAAGCGAAAGAAGGGTTTAAGGTTTTTCGAGTTTGAACTTACAACCCCAACAATCGACCTCGTGTCTATTCTCTACGGTCAACATCTCCACGAGAAGATGGCAAATCTCCATAACCCCAGTGGCCCAGCAGCAGCAACTACTTGCAGTCCCACACAAGAAATCCGTCGGTTGATTGGTCCGTCGGTTGGTCTTTCAGTCGAACAAATGAATGGAAACCTGCTAAGACACAACAGAACTCTTTTCTTCGTAGACTGTCTGCCGCCAAAATAGCAGTCGGACAATATGGCCTCTGACTGTCACTCCTCTTCTTTCTCGGAGGATTTCTCAGACACTACAGCACGCCCCCGATTAGGGTTTTGCCAGACCTATCTCTGTCTGCACTTGAGCTTCCTTTCTACTGTTGTCACCGGTAAATGATGGTTGCTTCCCGGTTGCGAGCTCTGGAGGCTTCCCGGCTCCCTACCCTTTGCTTGCCCACATTGTCCGGTAACTTTTCTGGTCTACACATTTATCTCAATCTTGACTTAAGACATGTTTCATCGAGGTATGTTAACCCTTTTATGTTCACCTATATTCATTGTGGCCAACTATGTTCTCATTCCATCACATACTGCTTCCATCATTCTTGTACATTCGTCTATGTCTAAATTATCTTGGATGTAATCATGCTAGTGAGGATTACACGAAATGATCACCAACAAATATTGAAATACCCCGTCAAATCCTTGAACGATGATATTAGAGAGGTGAGATGGAGTTAGACTTCAATAACATCACATACGTAGGATATACACTTCTTCACTTAAGTTATTGAATTATCTGCGACAAACGATGTGTGTATTATGTACAGTTCCAAATAATCAACTAAAAGTGTTTCTAGTTTATAGATTTCATCAACTTGTGTTTTGAAAATACACATTGTCTAAAGTACATTATACAATATGCTATGAATATCAGTTAGTATCGGATAATCTTCACACAATCTCGCAGTAACATGTCCAATAGGTATGCATAACTCATAATAACTACAAATCTCAAGTGGAAAAAAAATTAGATTTCTAACCATCCCTACACTAGAAAAATGTGATAATCATGACATGCATTTGTGTAGTCCATAAATTTGCGTAGGTAACATATTAACAACTAGATTTTCAATATTGTTAATACAAAATATATATATATATATATATATATATATCAATGATATATACTATGACACTTGGATGTATCTTTACATAAAAATCGTCAGAATGGATGTCTATTAGCTGAAGATAATACCATATATTACTTTTATATAAAGTACTTGTGGCTTTAAATCTATTTTATTTTATTGTATTTACACCATTGTTTTTACTATATGGTATGAAAAATGTTGTTTTTTGATAAGTATTCAGTAAGTTGCAACTTATTTTCATTTTTCTATTTGAATACATAACTACGACTTCATTGAGAAGTGTGACATATGACTGATGTTTTTCCTATATACATGTTCATGTACTCACAATAGCATTTAACAGTACTTTGCGTAAGGTTGAAATAATGGTGTCTTGTATTTCATATCATATTTTCTTGTGTGTTATTAAATAATATTACATATAGTAATAAACAACAATCCATATTTTTGTTAATAAAAAAAATGTTCAAGTAGATAAAATGAACTAAGAACATAAGAAATATATTTGTAGATACTTTATTATTATTATATATTGTTTTAAATACATTTAAGAAATGAATAAAAAAAACTATATGATTTTGCGATCAAAATCACCTTCATTGCACAATACACATATTATAAATAGATATCTTATATACAAGGAGAGGTGAAATTAATTCTATTTAGAAACTCAATCAATCGATTTGAAACATGTATGGAAGTCAATAAAATTATTAATTTTTTTTTTATACATGTAACCAGTTCAATTTTGTTTATGTCTATCATACAAATAAACACAAACGCAAGTAACAAGGATAATTCATCAACATTCATTGAAATACAATTAACACCCAAAAAAAATAAAAATGTGTATTTTTTCCATCTAATTTTTTCTTGCATCCATCTATTCAATCCAAAAAAATTACTCAATAATGCTACGAATAAAAAATATGTCAAAATTAGCCGAGTTTAAATTATACATTCTAAAATAGTTGAAAAGTACCAATATCAACCAAAATTATAATATGAGTCCATATCAAATTCCAAAACTAAATAATAACAATCAAATAGACATATCGAAGTATTGAAACATTAAAAAAATTCTCTTGAAATTTGATAATGTTATAAAAGTAATTAATTTTAATCAAATATATCCAAAAAGTAATTCAATTCATGTTGATTCACATAGCAAGTTAAAAAACATTGTTCGTGCATATTCGTAAAATCAATTGCAACTTTGTGCTCAATTTTATACAATGTTTGTAAAAAAATTAATAATATATGTGGTAGATTGACACTAAAATTATTGAATTATACTATATAATACTTAGATAATTATGCATATGATTGACTTGAAATACTTCAATATGGATGTATGTTATTAAAGATGAGAATAAATTTGATCTAAGCACATTATCAAATTTTGTTGGTTGTATCACTGATATTTTTTTTAAATGAAATAAAAAATTAAAATATATCTTTCTGATATTTTAGAAAAATTTTCAAAATAAGAAAAATTTTCATCAATTTTCAAAAAATAATATATATCTCATATGGTCAATTTGATGCATAGACCTTTTGTCAAAAACAATATAATGATTAGAAAAAATATATACACAATACTATCATGGTCATTACAAATTTATTCAACTTGTATGCATCGAAATCAATGATATATATATATATATTATATATATACTATCTTATAAATTGATCCATACACTTGAAAAAAACATAGTGATTTGATTTTTTTTGCATTTATTGTTGCTTGAAATATTTCTACAATATAAAAAGTCATTTCATAATGCCATTAAATATAAATAATAAACTAAATGAGATTTAAAAAAAATATAAACAATTCTACAGTTTTTGTTGCTATAATACATCATGTTATGAAAAAACTATGAAATAAGTTTCGGAGCAATTGAATATTTTATGTACAAATTGTAGAATATATATTTCCAAGTGTTTTTAGAAAAAAAAATACTTGTCAAAATAAAATTGATAAACTTCACTATAAATTTTAAGAAAATTTATATCACAAATTTATTTTTTGATTATTACTCTTTAGAACCATGTACTAAAATACAAACGTATATACTAAAATATCGTGCAAATATGTATCGTCATACATTCTACATCGCTGACATGTTTCTCACATACACATTACACAAGAGCGTACACACTCAAATGTATCACAATTGAATAAGCACGTGTTAATCTCACTCGCTCAATACACTACCGTCACACAAAAGTCGAGCTCAATTCACTCATGAGAGAATCCGGGTCAACGTTTACGGGCATTCACTAATCCCAACGCTAGAAGCTCGACTCGAAGAACAAAAAGTTCTTCGAGTCTCTCGCCTCTATACCCCCTTCGACTCGTAACTCTAGGTGGACAATTAAATATAGTAAACACAAAAAAAACGTACAGCTTTCTTGCGAATGTGTATTGTCATACACTCTACATCGCTTATATGTTACTTACACACACATAGAACACAAGAGCATACACAATCAAATGTATCACAAATCGCACTCCTAGATGGCGGTCACATCCCTCTAACTCCCAAATAGCTTTATCTACAACTACATGTTATACACATTCATGGGTGCACGAACCAGTTGACCGCGTGCTATGTCGCCTATTTGCAATTCATAACATGTGAAGATCACGTCATCTATCCTTCAAAAGTACATCGAGGACAAATTCATCGTCCAACTAGAACAACATCGATAGATGGAGTCAAACACAACATGTGTCATTCCCTAGAATACCTAACACACATTAACATATGGGCCGCTTGATCAACTAATCCACAGACCATTCACCTCAAGCTATCGAGTACAATTGCCAAGCTTGGATCCATAGTGTCATCCACGTTTGGGAGGTGGCATGGTGCACATTTGCGCTCATGATCCTTCCAAACGACACCGTCATGACCCTTCAACATAAGAATTCCAAAAAATAACACCTTCTGCACTCGCAAGATAGTGCGTCTCGCTGTCACATCCAATGGTGTGAGGAGGAGTATGAGTTTGTGACAATCGTCAATGCTATGCATGTGGATGAATGAGTCACATTGAAAAGTTTTGCCAAACTTAATCGGCACCACAAGGAGGACGGTCCATTCAACAACGACCGTTCAACAACATAGAGAGGATAGAGTATGAAGAGGTTGAGAAAGAAACTTCAAGAAACAAAGATCACCGGTAAATTTGTCTTCTAGTCTTATTGGTTCTACAAAGCAAAGAAAAGGCAAGATTGAAAGAAGTCAATAGTTGGGAGATCATGGAAGCAATAGAAACAAGTTCAACTCATTGTCACTGATGTTTTGATGGAAATACACAACATGAGAGTTTTGATTAATCTTGCAGCAACAGAGAATATTCTATCAAGTAGTATTGCTATGAAGTTAGGTTTGATGTTGATGAAGGACGTGAATGAACAAGTTGAATTGCCAAACATGCAAACTAAAGTGATAAAAACATTACCACGGAGAGTAGAATTATCCAAAGATAGATACAAGGAGAGCATTGAATGGAGAGTAATTTGTTTAGTTTGATATGATGTCGTCCTTGGAATGCCATGGATGGAGCAATATAATATCGAGTGGATTGGACAATAAAAATGATTTCAAGTTGCGGTTGGAAGATCTAAGGAGATAGAATTAGATCTTAGAATAGGAATTTATCCCTCTTTGTGATGGATAAAACATCCAGTTCTAAAGATTATGTATGTTTTCTTGGACTTATAAAGATATATTGGATCCACGGAAAAACTTTACATCTCAGAGTCATTGAACGACATTTTTATGGAGTATAAAGATGTTTTTTCAGATTATCTACTCGCATGGTTATCACCAAAGAGTAGAGTAGATCACAAGATTGAGTTGATATTGAGAAGTACACCAACTTGCAAAGCTCCATATTGTATGGCTCCGAACGAATTGGAAGAATGCAAAACTCAAGTGGAGGAGATGTTAAGGAAGTTCTTCATTCAACCAAGTGTTTCACTTTATGAAGCTCTAGTGCTCTTTGTGAAGAAGAAGTATGAATTCATGAGATTATGCATCGACTACCGGGTTGGATCAGCAAGCGGTGAAAAACAAAT